CTTGGTCGTCGTAAACGAACTCGTGATTTTGTTCATGATCACCATAAATTAGTGGACAACAATCAGAGACCTCTCCAAGCGACTGGACAGCAAGGAAGAGTGCAGGAATTTCTAGACAGCACCTAAGTTATTGCCAGACAGCAAGCAGGAACTGATTTGGATAGCAAGAGTTGGTGAAGACTAAAGGGGCGGCAGCTAAGTAGAGGGGGAGGAAAGAATTAGAGGGGATAATATAAATTAATTCCTAATGAGGGAAGAGATTAATTGGATGGAATTATTGTGGGATATTTGAATTGGACAGAGAGGGAGGGGTCGTCCATACAAGGGGCTTGATTAAGGGATTTGATTGGATGAATTAATTAGATAGGAGAGAGGGTAAGGGGGCTGGCCAAGAGAGGGGAGAGAGGTGACCACATTCGTTGAATGTGGAGGGCAATCAATGCTAATTAATTTAAGATTTTAATCAATCCAAGATTGAAGGGGATTTCCTAAAATAGGTTAATTAATTTAAGAAAGGATTTGAATTTCAAATTTATTTGGATTTAAATTCAAAACTTTCCAAATTAATATCAACTAATTTAAGAAATAGGGAAATTAAGAAGGGAAAGGGACTAGGGGGCCGGCGGCTTGGGTTGGTGGTGGAATTAGGGTGCTGGGGAGTTAGGCCGGTGGTGGTGGGGCTTAGGGTCAGCAGGTGGAGGAGGAGGAAGGGGTAGTGGTGCTCGGCCTAGAGAGAGCGAGGGGAGAGGTGGCCGGCCTAGGATTAGTGGAGATGGGGGTTTTGGCCAAGAGAGAGAGGAAGGGATTTGGCCGGTGGTTTAAGGGGAAGAGAGGGAGGATGGAGAGTGCAACGTCGACCACGAACCCGGACGCTTCCTGCTGTTGGTGGGTATTGCGATGCCCTCACCTAGGGACTTCTTCTAAGCTCTCTCTTAGGACTCTCAAATCTCACCAAGAAAACAAAAGTACATAAAATAACATAATGTCATTCATTATCCCTCAAAGGAGGGGAGGCTTTAAATAGCCAATACAATGAAGAAAAATACAAAGACCAACTTGCCCCTAGGGCATACACATGACTAGGCCCTCAAGTGGGGGCATAAAAGAAAAGTACAATAAAAATCATAAACTAATACATCAATAATAAATCTAATACAATGATAATCAAAAGTAAAGCGGTGCAATTGTGGCCGTAGATCGACGGCCACGCCTCTGGTAGACTCTCCAAGGTTGGATGCCCTCATCACTTATGTTAAAAAGGTAGAGGTAGACCTAAAAAGACTTGGTTAGAAAATATTTGAAATGATCTTTCTTTATTAAATTTAAACAAGAATTTGACTTTTAACATGACACAATGTAGAAAAAGTATTCATGTAGCCGACCCCACGTAGTGGGACAAAGGTTTGATGTTGTTGTTGTTGTCATCGTCATCTTGAAACCTTACACCTATTGAATTGAGATATCATTGAATAATTAATACAACATTATTTTATGGCAAGTTTTTTGTGATAAGGCTAATGATGATGATGACATTATTTTTCTAAGCTCAGAGAATGGTTGCATCACCTCAACATCAATGATGTGATGATGACGGCCCTTTCTTCCTCTAAGCTTAGGGAGTGAATGAGTCATCTTATCATGGATGATGATGGTTTTCCTTTTATTTTGGCTAATCTGTTGGGTTTATATTTTATCTGCTATTAGTGTAATTCTTCATCCATGGCAGTTGAATAAAAGCACTCTTAAGAAGAGTTGATTATCTCGTGCAAAGTTTATTGTTTTTATTTTTTTATGTGGAGTTTGCTAATCTGATTTTTTTACGTCATTTCAGGAAAGAATACAGCTTGAGACAGCTCGGTTATACAAGCAGGCTGGTGTGAATCCATTAGCAGGTTTGTATTGGATGGGCTTGTAATAGTCGTTTAGTTGCATATTCCACTTTCTATCTCCTCACATGCATTCCAACTTTACTGTATGTCTAGTTACTGGGATTTATGGATGAAGTGAATTTCAAATCACTCTGCATTGTCTTTCCTTTTGGGCTGACTCTTGCATATATAATCTATGGTAAATTAGGTTTCCAAGCATGCCTAGTAAACCTTCTAACTTCCTTCACCAGCATTTATTTTTCTTAAGTGTTTCTGCAGATATTATTTTCGTACCCTATTAATTGGTTTATTTTATTAATTTTACAGGTTGTTTCCCAACTTTGGCGACAATACCAGTTTGGATTGGCTTGTATCAAGCTCTCTCAAATGTAGCAAATGAGGTGAATGACAGATCATCTAAAGCATGGTTTATCTTACCCGATAATTTTGTTTTCTAAGGTTTTTTTGCTGAAATAAATTTGTTCTTACAAGATCAGGGCTTGCTGACAGAAGGGTTTTTTTGGATTCCATCGTTGGGAGGTCCAACAACAATTGCTGCTCGACAAACTGGTTCTGGAATCTCTTGGCTTATACCTTTTGTGGTAATAAAAAGTTCGACAATCCAGTTGATCAATGTTCATTTTCTATCATGATTGATCAGTAGAGAGACAAACCCAATTTTACTTGTATTTGATGGAATTCTATAACTTCCCATGCTTGCAATAACTTGTTTACCATTCTTCAAATACAATGAGTATAAATTTCTAGCATTGCATAGATTGTTATAATGTTGTCTCAGCTGAAGAATCAGATGAATAAAGAAAGGGAGTGAGATGCTAATTACAAAAAATTGTTAAGTATGGTTGCCATTTGAAATTTTTAATAGGATGCCATTCAATGCGATGTGGTAGACATGGATGATTTTCATGCCCTCCTTGGAGATCCATGACAGTTTGATGTGAGTGCTACGCACTGCAACAAGGATAATAGTCATCTATCTATTTCTATGGAATGAGAGGAAGACCCTGCTCTTTTCCTCAGCTCCGGAGACTAGAAACCCAATCATATTCCTACTTTGATAACAACCTCAGGGCCTTCATTTTTTACTTAGCTCAAGAATAGTGAATTCATTTCGCTGTTAGTGGCAAAGCTGCCCCCCTCTACACCTATAAGTATGCCAATAGAGTTTGAAGAATTATTAAAGGAATTTCATAACTTGCAGATGGCGGATGCAATGCTTGAACTCTTATCGTTCAGGGATATACACCACCAAACTCGACTTCATTCCAAGGACAAGTCTTCTTAATTATCCGCATTATTAGATGTGCCCAAAGGAGCACATTGTTTTGCAAGGCACTATTGACGGTAGTTACCTCGTCAACTCATCCAAGTGAGTGTTAGACCTTGCATCATACCCACCCTCCCACTGCCTAAGGAGGATAACTCATGGTGAATGTTCATGGACCGCTAGCCGAGCTACTAACAAAATTATAGTAAATATTAAGATATTTCAGACAAATTAGAAGGGTCAATATCTTCTTTAAGTTCGATTTCAAGTGTGGGTTCCATCAAGCCTATATGCATCTTGGAGACGAGTGGAAAATGGCATTCAAAATCATATATGATCTCCATAAGTAGCAACTAATGCCCTTTGAGTTATGTAACGTGTCTAATATCTCTATGCACCTAATAACCGAAACATGAATTTTTTACCAACCAACTTCTATCTATGGGCTTCATCATCAATGGGCAAGGCACTCAAGTGGATGACGTGAAGATTCGGAGCATCCAAGAGTGGCCTATACCTACGAGCATTCATGAGGTGTGAATTTCCATGGGCTCACTTCATTTTTTCGCCATTTTATTCGCAAATTTAGCATTCTCATTACACATTTTACCAATTCTATCAAGAAGGGAAGTTTAGCTAGGGAGACAAGCTTTAAGATTTTGAAGGAAAATTTTGAGGTTCGCATTGATTCTTACATTTCAAAACTTTGAATATCTTTCAAGTGAAAGTTAACATATGCATAATTAGAATTAGAGCCCTAATGAACCAATCGAATATTTCATTGAGAAGCTCAACGAAGCTCGACAGAAATGGATCGCTTGAAAATAAGAACTTGATGCATTCGTGAGGGCGTTACAACATAAGGAGCACTACTTAATCAAAAGGAGTTCATTTTACATAGCAACTATATATGAAATCTCAAAAAAGTTTATCATAGATGCATGTGTCAAGCATATGGCAGGCCATGTAAACCAAGCTGCAGAGCTTGAGCAAGTGCATATCAAGCAATGAGTTTGCATTCTAGATTAAATTCAAAGTAATCTATTAAACGAGCTTGAGCTTAAGCTTGGCCCGACCTAGATCGGTTTGTCAACTTGTTGAGCCAACTCGATTAATATAAATCTATAAATAAACATTTATAATAGCCTAATTAATAGTTTCTTGTCCAGATTCAAAATAAGAAGTCATGTTAGAAAATAAGTCAAGCTTGAGCTTTCTTATCGAGCTCAAACATTCAAGTTGAGCTGGAGCCTCATACTTTTCACTCTAGCCAAGCTCGAGTTTGAGCTAGGTATATGAACTTTGCTTGATTAAGAAAGAATTCAACTCGACTTGACTTGTTTACAGTCCTATTCACAACCATTGAAACTCACTTCTTCTAGTCGCAAATACGATAGGATGTCACTCATTTTGTTCAAATTTGCCGTACTTATCAAATTGCAAAGAGCTGAGCTCAAAATACAGGCACATATACTCTAGTGCCGTGCCCATACCAAATAATATCTAGGAAGATATCAACATGGATGTTCTTATGTTTATTGGATCACATCAAGGATCAGCTTTAAGCCCAAATCTTTTTGCTTTAGTCATGGATGTTTTTACTAGCATTTGTATATACTTTTTGCTAATGATATTCTTCTTGTTGATAAGACTAGAGAGGGAGTTGAAGGTAAACTTGAATTATGGTGGTCAACCTTAGAGTCTAAAGGTTTTCGTTTGAGAAGATCTAAAACTGAATACATGGAGTATAATTTTAGTAATAATAGATCTAATGGGGGATTGTGACTTTGGGCGATCAAGTCATTAATAAGAGTACATGTTTTGAGATATCTCAGGTTTATTGTCCAGAGTGATGGTGAAATAGATGGGTATATTATTTGTAGAATTCAAGTTCGATGGTTGAAGTGGAGGAATGCATCGGGCCTGTTGTGTGAAAGAAAAATACCCCTCAAACTTAAGGAAATTTTTTATAAGATGGTGAGACTTGCAATGCTTTATGTTGCAAAATGTTGGCTATTAAAAGAGAAATATACAATTAAGTTGAGATGACGATGCTCGAATGGATGAGTGGCTTTACTCTTATTAGAGATAGGATGCGAAATGAGCATATACCTGAAAATGTTGGTGTAGCTCCTGTGACAGATAAGATTAAAGAGAGTTGCCTTCTGACGATCCAGTTAGGAGAGTAGATGTATTAGATTTGACCTATATTAAAAGTGGTAGACGTAGCCCTAAAAAGGCTTGTTAAAAAAATATTATAAATGACCTTTTTTTTATTAGATTTAAATGAGAAATTGACTCTTAATAGGACACAATGAAAAAAAAAGGATTCATATTGCCGATCCCACGTAGTGGGATAAAGGCTTGATTTAATTGTTGTTGTAGTTTGTATGCCAATGAAAGTTAAATTATTGAAGTTTGATGAAGCTTTTAAAGCTTCATACTTGCAAATCTTTTTAAGTGAACATAATGTTCTCTTCTAAGATGGATATGGCAAAAATAAGAAGGATATGTTGAGATGATGGGAATAAAAATAGAGGAAATAATGAAGGCTAGAAAATGAATTTATTAGAGGGATGATAGAAATAGCATCTATGGAAGATGAAATAGTGGAAAAAGAGTTAGGTAGTTCTAGACATGTACAATAAAGAACAGACAATGCACATAGGAGATGAGTAGATGAAGTTATTGTAAGATTATGGATGACAGGTGATAGGGCCTAAGGTACATGGATAGAAGTTTTAAAATGTTATTATATGTTATTAGTTAACACCTCATCTAGAAATTAACAAGAATAAATGAAAAATAAAGATTCTTAAAGCCAGTCCCCAAGTAGTTGGGATAAGACTAATGACGCTGAATGCTTATTTGAATAGGTCCTCAGCATGATGATCTTCTGTTTATTGGTGCATTTTTATATTTGATGCAGGATGGACATCCACCCCTGGGCTGGTCTGACACAGCAGCATATCTTGTACTCCCTGTGCTGCTTATTGTTTCTCAGTATGTCTCGATGGAAATTATGAAGCCACCTGAGGTTATTCATCCTCATAAATTCTTCATTTCATTGTTCTGACAAGCAAGTGATTATTGATTCTGATTTACTAATGTTGAGGTTGAAATGACAGACTGATCCATCTTCCAAGAATACACTTCTCGTTTTTAAGTTTCTTCCTCTAATGATTGGCTACTTTTCATTGTCTGTGCCCTCAGGATTATCTATTTATTGGTAGGTATCCATAGAATTTCACTTAATATAGTTATATTCCTTATGTACTTCTTGCAATCATTATGTTTCTAATAAAGTTTGCGTAGCAGCTTTGTTGATTCTGTAATTCTATTGCTCAACAAAATCATCTAATTTTGATTTTGTTCCTATTCAATGATCAGGCTTACAAACAATATTCTCAGCACTGCACAGCAATTATGGCTGAGAAAATTAGGTGGTGCAAAGCCCATCGTAAGTCCTGATGCAGGTGACATCATAAGTGCTGGACAAGCAAAGCGTTCTGGAAGGAGTGGAGAAAGGTTTTATTCATTGTAACTTCTTTTATTTCTCCCTGTGTATCTGGATTTCTGATCGAGCCATTTATTATTAGGTTTAAGCAATTAAAAGAAGAAGAAGAGAGTAGAAAAATGTACAAAGCATCGCAAAGGGAGGAAGATCAGATTCTGGCATCTGATTCAGAATCCGATGAACTGACTGATGGAGAGTCCAAGGTTTGCGTGGCTTTTATTCCTTTTCTTTTTCGGTTTTCTGCACCAGGCAGTCTGCTAGGGCTTTAGTAGGATTTCATTTATGTAGTTAGTAAGTATTCTTATTAAATTCCTAATTGGTTTATTTGATCCAAGTTGAATTTGATTTGAAATCGACCTGAATTGTAAGAGATAAGTGTTTCACTAAAATTTGGTCAAATTGATTTATTGATTATATCTAAGCTAATTATAGCAAACACATAGTACTACTAAACACGAAATGGCTATTAGTTTCATGCTTATGCATTCATTTATGTAACTTAAATTTAATCCTTTGCACTTATCCAAGTTAATTGCATTTTGGGTCATTTCTTTGGTTACTACAGGTCAAAATTACTGGCATTGTTTTATAGAAAACTGTATCTATATCATTAAACAGCATCATTCATACATCTAACAAAGCTTTCTGGTAAATTCAACCTATTGAAATTATTGTGCTCGGTTGGATACATCAATTACATCATAACTCATCATGCATAGTGGAATGCAATAAGATATATAAAAGACATCCAAATTGATGATGTGAGCAGCCGGGGGGACAAGAAATTACCTTAAAATGGGAATAATGAATTCTTGATATGATGGAAAGTAAATATGTCAATCATAAGATTATTAACCAGAATCTCGCCCAGCAATTGGAATCTTAGGGAGAAGTAAATACTTGCCTAATCACAAATCACTTAGCAAAAGAAGAACAACTGGCTTTGTGGCACATAGGTTGCAATGAGGTGGTGGTGGGAGGTGATAAAAGGTTTGTTTGGGGTGATTGCATATATCTATTAAAATAGTTATAGATTTTTTTTTTTGGAACGGGGTATCCACCCGCTGCCACCCCCGAAAGGGAGCTTGGCGGCATGATTAATCCTCGCAAAATATTTTTTTCTTTTTGGAAAACTAGAGATGATATTATAAAATTTTTCAATTTTTGTAAAAAATGTGTACTAATTTTGTTGTATTGACCACAATCCAATAGATTTGACTGTGAAAGGTTGCTTTCCACTATAAAAGTTTCTTAAAATCAACAAGAAACATGCAACGACGCATAATTGTGGCTGCATTTGGGGAAGTAAAGCTTTGAAAAATTGCTGCAAAAGGGGGGGACCCAAAGTGGTATCTTAGGCATTGATCACATCTTCACCAAAGTTAGCCAAATTTTGCTTCTAAGCAAAATAAATGCTTGCTTAAACAAGTCTTCATGAAATGTTTTCATCTTACCCATTCAAGTCTTTTTATAGCGTTGTATCTTTATTACTTGTTACGAGCTTCAGTTCTGATTTGAGACCCCATAATTTGAGGGCTTTGAAGATAACGTGATGACCATGTTTTTGACAGAATGGAGCACATGATGAGTCATATGCTGCTACTACAACAGGCAGCAAAGGACTTCCAAATTACACTGGCCCAAGGAAGGGCAAAAGATCAAAGAGGAAGCGAACGGTGCAGTGATTGGCTTAGCAAATGACACTTTGGTCTCCTCCAATGGTCGATTTTATGTTGGAATGTAAAGTTGATTTTTAGCTGCAACTTATAGGCTTATGACTTTATGTTTATTCCATTATTCTTAATCATAAGATAAGATTATAACAAGCATATTTTCGGCAGCTTCAGGTCGGCCATCTTTGCCAGTTTTGTATGTCAATAAAACATTTGTCATTGAAATGCTATTTAGTCCGCAGAATGGTTGTTTTCAACGTATAAGTTGATAGCTTTTGCGGACGCTGATTATAATTAGATACGTGGTATTTTCATATATTCATACACCCAATTCTGAATATTTTTTTCGCTATTAAGGTTTTGTATGGGACGACATTCATACTGCTTCTTAAAGTATTTTTCTATCACAAAAATTAAAATTTTTGTAGTAAAAAGTTACTTTAAGAAGCAGTAAAAAAGCAAATAGGGAGTGGCCGAATGGATGGCCGATATTGAATCCCTTGATCGTGCACCGTTCGTTGGACATTTGAAGGCCTTAGTGATGTCAGAATTCAGTGATCCTGGGCTCGTTGGATTCGTCTCGTCGATCCGTTCGATTCGAGTACAAGCTCGTTAAAATCGGAGACCGTTTGGTAACTCAAATTGTGATTTGAACCTTCCAATAGCGCTTCGGGTCCTTGATTTGGATCCATTTGGGCTCGGATTGGGTTGAATTTGGTGTCATTGAATCCGTATTTCCGAGACGCTCAGTTTGACTATAAGCTCGCTGAAATTGGTGTTTAGATAGTCTCCAATTTAATTTTTGAAGCTTCCAACTCTATTCTGCCTCAAGATTAGTGTCTGATCAAGATAATATTTTGGTGACATATCAACATATATCAAGCCCATGTCTTCCTAGAAAAATAAAAAAAAATGGTTTGCGCAGAAAGAAAAAGAGAGATGCTTAAATTTGTATATTTTCAGATATGTTTAAGGTTGCTTCAAATGGGTTGGTGTAGTGAAAAAGTTTCCTCTAATTGAGCTGCGCCTAATAATTATGATCTTATATTTTCTTTGAATAAGATATTCATATCCATTCAATGCCGATCTCTCATATATGTCTATTACTCACAAGAAGATTCTAATTAAAAATATTTATATATATGAGGATGATAAATTAACTATTAATTCGCCATAGGTGATGATAAGAACATGTGTGAAGCTTTGTATGTAGCACATGTAGAAGTAGGCGTTATTATGGGCATACACACTATGAAAAATAGTGGATCCATGGATTTTCCAATACTATGGTGTCTATTCTAGAGCACAATCCCAATTTGTGACATACTTGAAACTAGTAAACGTACGAGTGAGATCATATAATTCTTCATGTATCTACTAGCAATAATACGCGATACAAAAACACACATGAATATCTCCCATACTAGAAGAGTGGTGTCTGAAAGTAACTCTAATATAGTGGCTACTAATATAATACCTTATGTTCAAGTTCGTCCTTAATTGATTTAGTGGTTAGAAAAATTTTTGAGAGAGAAAAAAGAATTAAAGCGGGCGATACATCTATATGCAGCGAAAAAGAACTTTCAGCTCAATGTGAAGAAATCAAGCAAAAATGCGAGATATATCCATTGCACTTCAAAAACTTGTTTATAGATTTTACGAGCCTAAAAGTTTGAAAAAGTTGAACATGTTTAAGATCACAAGTCATAAATTAGAATACATCTGTGCTTTGGATGTTATGATAAAATATCACAGACAAGCTCATTTATGGCTCATTGGACACATGACATTAATTTTGTTAGACCTAATTCGAATTTGAAGCAAAAAAACTATCATATCAAATATGAAGAGGGACTAAAATATTAATTTGTCTATAAAAAGGCTTTGCATTACTGTGAGCAAGCTATCATATATGTTAGAAGGCCATACAAAGTATCATTTCAAAAATTATCATCTTATTTGTGCATGCAACATAGAAAAAAAATCTAGTGATGCCGTTTGACAGTGAAGGACATTTTAAGTACATATATTTTGGGTGTTTCTATTCAAGGCTTCAAGACTACATGCCACCAAAGGTAGATTGCAGATGAAATATTTTTGAATATAAATTGTGAAGGCACTTTGCTCGTGGCAGTTGAACAAAATGTCAATACTTAGATTTATCCTATAACATTTGCATTAGTTGACTTAGAAAATAATGAGTCTTTTGTTGTTTGTTATGATCATACTATAATATTCAACATGCACAATGGAGAACATGATGTTTGTTTTGTTATAACCTCGACACTAATTACCAATACTTTAGGCACATTATGGAACTTGCACTCTTTTATGTGATGATGAATATCACATTGTAGTTCAAAATTGATATTTCCCCTAGTAATAGCACTTGGCTCTTAAAATTTTATAGAATATCTGCTTTCAACAAATACTTCAATAAAATTTGTGTCAAGAAATAAACATTAATTTCTTATTTAAATGGTAAAGTTGGTTTGGAGCGGTGGATAAGCTCCTAATTAAAGCTTAAGACTTGATTGTCTACGCCATTAATCAATTTGAACTGCATGTCTTAGATAGAGACCTCAACCGTGATGTTGATTTTTGAGGGAGAACATCTACATATAACAAGTTTGATGTTAAGGGTTTCTCACACAAACATGCATTGACTGTTGCTCAAGAATGGGGTGTCAATTACTACAGCTTATTCTGTCAATTTTGTATAAAAAAGTGATTGGTTGCTTATGCTAAGGCCTTCAAATAAGCAGAAAGATGCGGTGCAACGTAGGGAAACCAATGTGGAGTTAGGTGCCATAATTGACTTACTTAAGTGCTATTACCACTTTCGTTATGGATTATACTTTACTCTCTTGGTTATAGTAAGAATATTCATTGGTTATGGAATGTAATTGATATGTTATAGCTTTTGTTTTACTCTCTTCTATGATTTTCCATTGTCATATGTTATAGGCTTAATGCTCTTTATTATAAGCCAAGATGTGTCATAGCTATTATGACAATTTTTTGCTGTGTTATATATTTTTTGTTTTACACTTACATAAACAACTGTATTAACAACAATTATAATTACTGGATTTTCTTCTAACAATATTTGAAGCTCATCCTAATGCCCGAATTAGCCTTGTAGTTCTTTTAAAAAAAATTACCTTAAATCATCAATTCTTTCCTGATTGGCGATATCGTGCAATTTCTAAAAGCATTTTCATAAATTTTTTAAAAAATGTAAGTACATCACACTTTAATTTCTTCAAATGATAATGACTATCTAATTAAGCTATTTGACTCCTGTTTTAGTCGTCCATTAAAGGAAAAATTATTGCGTCCTCCCACCTGACGTAGAGATACGTCCTCCCAGAGTTAAAATCGCGCTAAAAAATGAGAAGTGCCGAGCAAATACCGAGCAATACCAAACAATAATGAGCAATATCATCATGTGAAGACCAATACCGAGTTATACCGAGCTATACCGAGCAATACCGAGCAATACAAAAAAATACCTAGTTTTTCCTAGAAAAAACTCGGTATTTTTTGTATTGCTCGGTATTGCTCGGTATAGCTTGGTATAACTCGGTATTGGTCTTCACATGATGATATTCCTCGTTATTATCAAATAATACCTAGCAATACCGAGCAAAAATCGAGTTTTTTGACGATGGGAGGATGTAGCTCTACGTCAGGTGGGAGGACGCAATAATTTTTCCCATTAAAGAGGCAACTTTCCCTATTCTAAATTTTATTTTAATCATGTTTAACCTATTAATTTAATAATTAAACATAATTAGTGTTAAAATTTTCCCTTTTATGTCTAAACTGCTGTGCCATATGTGCGTACTGCTAAGAAAAGCAGATTGCAAAAATGTATGAACACTGTTTACCTTTCCCCTTTTACCCCATTGGTAAGCCTGAGAATGGAGCTCTCCGCTGTCGCAAAGGCCAGCTCTTTTTTCCATCTCTTCTGACTACTGAGCTCCGGCAAGATAATCATAAACACTCACACTTTATCTGCCTCCTTTTGCTTCGATTTCAGGAGCTCAGCTTTAGATCGGGTTAACAATGACTGCGACCAAGCTGGATTCCATGGAGCTTGAGGCGATGCGCAAGGAAGATAGCTCATGGCATCCTTGCCGCATCTCCCTAAGGTTCTCTCATTTATTTGAACCGCACTCGATTTGCTTACTCTTCGTCTGATCGATGAGTTTTCAAGTGAATCCGCTGTTTGCTTCTTTTAGCCTTCTAAACGCTTGTGTTCTTGTGGAGCAATTGTAGGGAGTTATCCGATGATCTTCCTTATTTAGATTCTTGAGCGTTTCTTTTTACGTTCTACAGATTTTTGAGCTTTTTTTTTTTTCTCTTTTTAGAACTACTGAGTGAATTTGGTTTATTATTCCTTGTCAGCATATCATCAGCATGATCTATCCAGTAGGTACTGATCTATTTGTATGTCGTAAGCATTATTGCTATAATGATACAAATATGCATTGGTTGTTAATAATCCTTGTTGAGTGTGTATGCAGCTCTGGTGACCCCAATACTGGTATTGTAGTGGATTTCGGAACAGATGATGAGGAGGATGTAATATGCAACACAGAAGATGCTTTATCACGTTTGCGCTTTCGTTCAACTCCTCTACAAGGCGATGAATGTACCAATATCAAAGAAGGGGAACGTGTTCTTGCCTTGCAGAAAACTAAATCTAAAAGCTTGTTCGTTGATGCTACTATAGAGGAGGTATGCTCCTTTTTTATATAAATTTGAGATGGCATGGTACAGTGCAAATTTAGTAAAAAAAATCTGCGTGGCTGCACAAAATAAATTAACCCAAAAAATATGCATCGATCACGGATTGGAGTCCGAAAGTAGAGCTACGTCTAGACTCCGCACGGAATAATATCTCCTTCCAGAGAGCTATGATTGTGCAATTTGTAATTAATTAATGCAATAGTTTATGAGATATACCTGTATGCCCATATGGATATCTTTTACATATGCATATTGCTAGAAATATGATTAAGGTAAAGGGAACTTGAAGGAAACACAGTAAAGGTAAGATGAATATAAGTTGAATAAAAACTTCTGCATTATGTACAATTAGGACTATCTACAACACCTAATAGGAATGGATGGTAGCGAAGTATTCTTAAAGATAGAAGTAGCTGTTGTAAGGATAATGATGATGATGATGATGATTTATGTTGAAGTACCAAAGAATTCCTATAAAGCTTAGGTGACCTAAATAATTTTTGTAAAATGATGCAGGACAAACTTCAAAAACTTCAAAAAAACTCCAGCCTTTTTGGCTATCCTCCAGTTCAATTTTACTGTGTATATCATCACCAATTTTCAGATTTCCTTCTTAATGATTTTGTTTTCTTCGAGTGCTTACTCTCTTTTATTTCTTTTTCACCTTCCTTCACAGCCAAAGAGAGTGAAACACTCAAAGCGGGTGCACTGCAGATGTACATTTCAAATAAAATGGCTTAATTCTGAGTTGAAAGGGGAAACTGTGACTGTTCCATCCAAGTCAATTCTAAAATTGTCAGATAGAAGCATTGATGAACATCAAGTCTTTTCCAGATTCCTGAATGTTTTGAAATCTGAAAATGGGGGTGAAACTCCTTCAGTCATTTCTTTTTCTGAAGAAAGTTCCTGTGAAGCGGAATTTATTGGAATATTAGAAAAACAAGTGGAAGAGATCAGCAAGTTGGTTGATGGAACAAAAGCATCTTTTTCGGATCTTTTTGAGGAGGTGAAAAGTGGTTAGAATCCAATCTTTGCCCTTTGACAGTTGCTTGAACAGAAGTATTGCTTTTAGCTTTTAATCAGATGTTATTCTTATCATCATGATCTGAGTGTTGTTAATTCCATCACCTTAATTTGGTATTTAGATGATGCATTTGTGGAAAGAAAGCTGTGATCTAATTGCACTCGTTCTTCCTGTTCTTGGAAAAGCCCCCAGCAATGATCTTTTTACAACCTTTTTAATCTCAAAGAACCTGCAATTAAATCTGTGATGGCAAATATACCTCTACTACACAGGAAGCCTTTTTCGCTTCAGCAATAGAGTACTGAAAATGTATTGAATATAATATCTCTTACATTTAAAAAAATTGGACTAGGTATGTGTAATATAGAGGACTGCAGTTGAACTACTATATGTGCAACGCCTCAGTCCGGGAATACAGAAAAAACAGGAATAACAGAAATGGGTGAGATGGATGACTTATTCATTTAAACTGGAAAATTAGCTTGAAACAAAGAGACAAAAAAAAAAAAAAAAAAAAAAAAAAAAGATTTAGATATAAAACCACATCAACAATCTCCTCCTTACTTTTAAATTGAACATACCTAATTAGAAACATCATTCAAGAGTTATAATACTGAAATTTTCTTAAAGGCAATGTCTCAGCTAGATTATGATCGTTAGAAATCTTATGATCTTTACCAAATCTTTAATCGCCACATCCACGATAAAATAAAATTTTATATCGACATACCTAAATTTTTCATGATGAATATGATTATTTGGTAAGCGTACAACTGCTTGATTATCACAGTAAATAGGTGCAATGTATATTTCCTTTTGTTCAAGTAGCTCACATAGTAGTGTTCTTATTCATGCGGTCTTCTTTACAACCTTAGAAACTGCAATGTATTTAGATTCTATGGATAGGTTGCAAATATTATTCTATACTCATTATGTTTCAACAAAACTGATTAAAAATGTAACAAATCTAAATTAGCATAATCCTGGATTGCTTCCTCATGTGGAGCTGCATAATTGTATCTTAAACCCAAGTTATGTGTGCCACTGAGATGCCTTCAGACCCATTTTACATCTTTCCAATGATTCTTGCCTGGATTAACTATATATCTGCTAACTACACTTAACACGTGAGCAAGGTGAGGGCTGCTACAAACCGTGACATGCATGATACTCCCAACTACATTATAATGAGATGCACTTAACTTATATCTTCTTTCGTCTTTATCCATTGCTGACCGATCTTGATTCGAACATTTTATTCTTTGCATCAAACATTTTAAAACTCTTAATGTTTTAAGACAAACTTTTCCATCAAGCATTTCAAACCTCTTAAGCATATGCTTCAAGAATAAATTCTGAGATAAAAAACAGTTCTTTAAAAGTTTTGTTCCTCCTTATCTCAATTCCAAGTATCATCTTTGTAGGATCCGAACCCTTCATCTCAAATTCATTTTGAAGCAATTCTTTTGCTTTTGAGACTTCATTATAACCTTACTAGCAATAAGCATGTCATCGACAATCTCAAATCCATCTTGAAGTGATTCCTTTGCTTTTGAGACTTCAATCATTGTTTTACTATCAATACGCATGTCATTGTTAGACCGGTCCAGTGGACCGGTTCAGCCGGTCCGCACGGGACCGGCCGAGTCGTGAAACAGGCGACTTGTTTCGCCTGGGCGGAGGCCACGCGCACCGCTTGCCTTGCGGGAGCCAAATAGGAAGCTTTTTTGGGGAAATTAAGAGGGGAATTTGAATGTAGGGACTGTTTAGGGATTTCCTTTTGATTT